AAGGGTTCGTCCAGTACGATCATCATCGTATTATACGATTATTCAAAAAAAAAAAAAAAAAAATCAAAGTTTCATCCAATAGGATATCCGGGACGATCGAATTTTGTCTCTGTCAGTCATATAGTACGATTAGCCATATTTATTAAACCTTGATTTGATTGACTAATCATGGAGATTAATTTAACTAAGATTTCAAATATCTTACAATATGATTAGTTCAAAAATCTAATATTTTAAAATGCTTACTTAAATCATCTTGTTGCTAGATTTTTCTCATGAAAACGAATCGTATATTACGATCTTTTCATAAGCAATAATTATAAAATTAGCCGTTAAATTGATTTTCGTATAATTGATCGTATAGTATGATCGTAATCATACGGTATATTAATTCAAAAAGTTTATTGGCTCACTGTGTGTGTGTGCACGATCGCCAATTTAACATACACCCTTATATGGTCAGACTAAAGAAAAATGAAATAAATGAAATTTAAAATACAAACTCTTTCGAATAACATCCTATTCTACCAAAACTTGAGCCTTGATCATTCTTGAGTGGTGTATGATGTACATGAAATGTTAGTACACAAAAAAAAAATGCAATACATATGCCCAGGAGAAATGAAATTTCAATCAACGATGTTTTGTTATCATCAAAATCACAAGCTAAGGATACTAGATTGCAACAATCTGTAACCCGATTTTGACATGCATGGGTGAAGATAATGTTCTTATGAGTGTTATCGGCATATAACGTTCTGTAAGTATCTAATTATAAGAATGTTCACGTTGGCATTTACTTTGAATGATCCCATTTCCCGTCATGATAGGTAAGCCCTAATCTCATTTTCATTATCTCCATTCATATTAGCATTTGGTATTAAAAGAGGATGAGTACTTGGTCCACAGTTCATAATATTTGTTGTTTGTGTCTTTATCCACTCCAACTTGGTGGCTGTCTAGCCTCATGGTTTGCTAGATTTGGTGTATATTTTTTTGTTACCCATTGGTTGGCTTGCCTCTTATTCATGATCATCTCATTTTATTTTTAACCTTTTTTTTCACAATGACAAGAAGTGACTCTCCTTCAGCTTTTTACCATTACTTTATTGTTTTTTTTAAGGAAATACATAGAGCAATTTATTTATAAAAACAACTAATTACAACCACATTCCTCCTTTAACATACTAACAAATGGAGAAATATTATTAAGACTAATATAGTTCAAAAAGAAATCTGAAACAAGAGTTAAGTTTGCACAAAAATTAGCAAACCTATTACATTCCCTATAAGAAAAATGAAAAACAACTTGCTTAAAATCATTAAGGGATCCCAATTCCTTCGGATTAAGGAAATCCTCTTTATCCACAGCCTTATTTATTAATCTTTGAAAAGAATTGATGACATTAAAGTTATCACTTCTATAACTATTCCTTTTGCATCAAACATCCAATCTTGAATAAAGTTCCTTAAGGCAAGAATTGATAAAAATTCCACTTGTGAGCAGTCCCAATGTATATAACTAAAATCAAAGGCAATAAAAATCTTCCTTTACAATCTCTGAAAACGCCACCTATTCCAGCCTTGTTTGAGCTAATCAAGGAAGCATCCACATTTACCTTAATCCATCCAGGAGGTGAAGGATGCCAAGAAAATCGAGACAGGTTGCACAGCTGATTAGCATCCCAGTTCTCCCAAATAGAATTAGCTTGAAAAGAAGCCACCGCATGACTAAAAGAATTAGTTGCTATACAAGTTGGAGAATCATCCATTTCACCATGAATAATCTTACTTCTGGCCTTCCAACACAAAAAACCACTAAACAATATAGATTTCCAACAAATAGATTTGTATTAGCAAGTTGCTTCAAGGAATTAAGATAATCTGCTAGATTATTGAAAATTGGCATAGAACAGCCCCACTTGGAAAGATAATTAAAAACGTGATAGATTTTAACACGCTTCACTGCAATATGTTCACAATCTTTATGAACAGCACAACCTCTTGGGCATCCAGCAAAATCAGACAATCTTCTATACACTAGAAATTCATTCAACGGGATAGCATTTATGCTCAAACGCCACAAGAACAAATCAACTCAAGGCCTTAAATTCAGTTTCTTCATCCCACTCTAGCTATTATCTTCCATACAACCTTCATAAGATTTTTCCAATGCTAGTGCAACAATGGATTTACCCTAACACCTGTAAAGCAACTCTATCCGATCATGTTCCAAAACAAAATTAATTGGAACCAATAATATCATATCCACCAGGTCTTGTCTGAAAAACTGCTTCAGCTTCACAACATTCCAACTACCTTCATTGATAAAACCTGAGAGAATATACATAGATTCATTCAAATTAGAAACTAAAGTAGGCCATTTATCAATACTCTTATCCAATATCCAAACATCTTTTATTGTATCAATTTCAGCACCGGTAGAAACATTCCATCTCACAATGGGATGAAGAAAATTAGCTCCATTTAAAATGATCTTCTAAGAGGACGAAGAATTCCTCTTATAATCACTATTCCACTCATCATTACCATATTTAGCCCTTAAAGTTCTGTTGAGAAGAGACTCAGGATTAGAAATGAAGTTCTAAGCGAATTTGGCCCTCAAAGGACCAACTTTCTCTACAATTGATTGCAACCCACGACCTCCTTTCTTTCTTGGCCTACATAAGACTTCCCAAGAAACATAATGAAGTCCATTATTACCCTCATTCTTATGCCAAATAAAGTTTCTACACATCTTCTCAAGCTCATTCAAAACCCCCAAAGGGACTAGAGAAGGGTTGCGACAAAGATTGGAAGAGAAAGAAAAGCTGAGTTAATAACAAGTAACTTCCCAGCAACTGAAATAAACCTGTTCCCCCAAACATTCAATCTGTTTGAAGCCTTTTCAATCAGATTTTGAAAATCAGAAAAAAACCAATATTCTCAATGCAATTTTGACTCCCAAATACTCCATTTCAGTCATCACCTTAGAACCCATCATTCTAGAAAGAGATCTCTCTCCTTTTCTTCACCAACTTCCCAAAGAGAATTGAAACTTCAACAAATTAATCTTCTGACCAATCCTATTATAGTACTTACAAAGAACGTTCTTCACCTTCTTCATACTCTTATGGTTAGCCTTAGAGAAAATGACAATTTTGTCAGCATACAATAAATGAGAAATCCTAGGAGTAGTCGGCGCAGCCTTGATACCAACACTCTCATCTTTTTGAGCAAATGCCTCATATAACAATTGAGAGCATAAAATAAATAGGTAAGGGGATAATGGACTTCCTTGACTAAACCCACTTCTAGCCTCAATCCATTCATAGTTACGACCATTAATCAAAATAGAGAACTTGGACATGCACCAAATAACATAACTCTGATCCTAACCTGATACATAGCTAATCTCTCAATATTATTGCATGAGTCCACAATCAGAGGCTAGAATGGTTCCCTGTTAATCTATTAATTAATTAAAGGTCCTTTAATTCTGTTTCACATGTCAGATGATCTTTCTTATTGTTTTATGTCCCTTCCTCTGATGGAAAATGCTTCTTTTCTATATTTTGGTATTGTTTTACTCCTGAATATGTTGTTTTCTTCTCTAGATTGCTGCAAATAGCAATATATTTATCTGATTTTAGCTCAAAATCAGAAGCAACAACAACTAGAAACAATCAAATAATAATCACAACCAACAAAATGCAATAACAACAACATTTAGCCTTTATTCCACTATATGGTTGGCTACATGAATCATTTTTCTTCATTGTGTCTTGTTAAAACTTAGATTCTCATTTGCATCTAGAAAAAAAGTTCATTTCTAATACTTCCGTTATGATTATTCGACAAATTTTATACTAATTATCAATTACCTAATATAACCCTCCACCTTTTCATTCAGGACTTGGGACCTGATAACGACAGTGTTTCAACTAACAAGATATAAAATAAAAATCAACATCTTCAATGAAGCAAGACAGTCTATAATCAACAAAGCAACCTACCCATAGCCGTGGTTTAAATGAATGGGAAATAGTTGAATGTGCTGCAGCACCCACACTGGGACCACAGACCAATTTGCTTTGAGTGGTTAAAGGAATTTTGAGAGGAGAAAGAGTACAAGAGGAGATTTTAATTGTTTTCATGTCAGGAAATAAGCCTATCGATAGACAAATACAATAAGAACAAGTTCTTATCTACTCCTAAACAAACTGACAAAGAAATGAACTATATCTACAAATAATTGGCTAGATAGGTTTTAATTAAATGATTATTTCAATTTGAATTATCCTAATTCTGAAGTAAAAACAACGTTATCCAATTAGTTTTAAGAAGTTCAAATCCATCTTTACCCTGCCTTGATATTAAATATGATCCAATAGAGCAGCTTCTGGAACCTTGATCTTGCTTGCAAGGTGTCCGATTAACGATACTGTTACACCTATGGACTCTTGGTGACATCTTCAATCTTAGTGGTGTGTTCTTAGAACCACTATTGTTAGTAATTTTTATGGAGAAATTGGGAAGTCAAAATTTTAACTAACGCAATTATTTGATCTTTCCACGATTGATGTCCAAATTTTTAAGAAAACTTCTTATCGACTGCATTTGGATGGCTGCATTGACCATCCCTTTATGAGTCGACCCGGATTAGATATTGTGATACTTTAACTACACATTGAATGTGAATTTTTTTCAACATCTGTAAGGCTCCCGGCTTTATTTCTTTTTGGCAATCTCATGCATTTATGATATGGAAGTGTTAACTGTATCTGTTCAGGACTTCTGCATTATGCGTAAATTAACTTATATGGAAAATCAGGGTCTTGAAATAATTAAATTTCAGGTTTATTTTTTCAATATTGAATATCTTTTGGGATCCAATTCATTTGACTTACCAAAGCAATAACCGATAGATTTTTGGTATTAACTAGATGCCTAGCTGTGCTTGTATTGGTGATTTAATTTTCAATTTATTTTAATTTCAGGGCTTGTATTGTAGCTAATGACAAACTTCTTGTTATTGGTGGTCAAGAGGGAGATTTTGTGGCTAAACCTGGTTCACCTATTTTTAAATGTGTTAGAAAAAATGAGGTAAGCCAGCTGATTTTCTAATTTCTTAACCTAAGTTCCCTGCATGAATATTATTTTCATAATGCTTTACTTCAATACAGTCTGTTCTCTTATTCGTGATTGCTTTCTTTTATTACTTGAAATATTTCACAATGTTGAAGTTTTGAAGTTTAGCTTGTTGCTTAAACTGATCTACTACTTAATTTATGGTTGTGGTTGGTGGGTATGTTGCTTTGAGTTTAAACCATACGTCTTTTTTTGGTTGCTGTTGTGATTAAAACGAAGAGCCAAGATGTCTCTACATTTGCTACTTTTTTTTCAACAAGTTTCTGAGCTAATCTCAGTGGTTTAGTGGAAACCTTGAACTTTGTTTGATTTACCCGAAGTTTTGTTTCATCTCTCCTGGGTTCACGTTAGAAGGTAATAAAGTCTTCTCTCTTTTTTGTTGCAAAAACAGTTGGAATCTTAAAACTTCCCATATGTTCATGTATAAGCGGATTTTGATGGTTACTTTCAACAGGAATCTCAGATTTTGAGGCACTTTAGATGGTTGTGTTATCTTGTGAATTATTGTATGCATATTTTAATGCCAACATGGCGTGCAGTGGTGTTGTCTACCTTAGCATAATCCTGTAAGCATTTATAGTGTAAAGAAAAGCTTTCCTGATTTAGTAAAATTATTTGAACTTAGAATTGGTCATATTTTTTGAATGTTGGAAAAGTTTTGCAGGCTCTGCTTCTGCGTTTATTATATAGCGTATTCCTCACATTCAGAAGTTTCTGCTATTTTAGATAGTGTATAGCAATGTCTACATGCTGGATGATGGATTAAAATGGAGAGATCTGCCTCCTATGCCTAAGCCGAATTCCCATATTGAATTTGCTTGGAAAGTTGTTAATAATTCTGTTTTTATTGCGGGAGGTACAACAGAAAAACACCCTGTGACCAAAAAGATGGTGCTGGTTGGTGAAATTTTTCGGTTCAACTTGGGTACTCTGGTAAGAACCTCCCTTCTGTAGATATAAATCATATCTTTGCCGTCAATCGTTTGAAAATGTTTGCCTTGCCCATTATCATGTTTTCTCCATAGCTTTGGAACTGAGAGTGCTGAATAATGCTTGAGATTTTTTAAATTAGGTAAAATTTAATAAATTTCTTGTTAAAATAAGATCCGTAGGTTGGCTAGAATTGAATCTTATAAGTGCCAGTTGCATAAATTGTCCTATTTTTCAAATTCAAAATATTTTAGGCGCCAGATCATTATTAGTTGGCAATAATGTTTTGGAGGCTACTTTTACAATATAGCTAGTGTTTGTGTTATAGTTAATCAAATTTTTAGGGAAAATAAGCTTAGGCGCCCGTTTGAAAGGCCAGGCGACCTAATGCTTCAGATTCTAAAACGAAAAATAATTTGACGTTTACGCTTAGAAACCTTTTTAAGTTTTCAGGCTTCCAGTAGACTTCGTATCACACTTGGATTTAAAAAGGTTCTAGAATAAAAAAATGATTTCTATCCTTCGGTTCCTGAAGTTTCAAATTGTTTCGATGCATTAAAAAAAAAATTTTTTTGTTTCGATGCACTTGCTTTTCTAGGTGATAGATAGGTAATTGACATTATCCATTTATTTTAATAAATTAATAAAGTGGGGAAAATGGAAGCAAACTGAATTTGAAATTGAATTTTTGCTCATTATATACAGGAATGGTCAGTAATTGGACGGATGCCGTTCCGAATAAAGACGACCTTAGTTGGTTTCTGGAATGGCTGGTTATACTTCACATCTGGGCAGCGAGATAAAGGACCTAATGATCCTTCTCCTAAAAAGGTTGTTGGATGTATGTGGAGAACCAAACTGCAATTGTGATCTTATCATTTCATTCCGGGGCTAATTTCACATTATTGAGATTCGCTTCGCTAGTTTATGAGGCTTTCGATACAGCGGGTTTTGTGGAGTTATTCCTGAACATGTAAGATGTATAATAGCAAATGAGTTATCCCACGTGTACTACGAAGGCAAGCGAATGTATCCCTTTGGTGGTCTTGTTCTCGTTCATATTTCTTATTTTTCAAACATAATTGTCTTCCACGTACATTTTTTTGTCAATGAAAGGTTTTTTTTTTTTTTTTTCATTGTTATTGCAATTTCTACGGTCTTAATGTAAAAGTCTATTTGCACTAGGGTGTAAGTGAGCACAAAATGGCTTGAGCTAGACTCTTTTATGAGCTCACGAGCTTATTGAGCTCATGAGTTGAGCTCAAGTTTGAGCTACAGCTGGCTCAGCTTGTGAGCCAGCTTGAATAAATATTATTATTTTTAAAATAATTTTATTTTATTTATTAAATTTAAATATTTAAAAAATTGATAAAAATTAATAAAAATCATCTAAGCTTTATTTAAATGTTAAACATTTCATATATATTTTTTTAAATTTGACTAAGTTTTAAAAATTCTGATTAAGTTTTAAAAAGTCCTAATTTTTATAAATCCCGTTTAAATTTAAAAATTTCTGCTCATAGCTTGTGAGCCGTTTCGATCTCGTTTATAGTGAGACGAGTTCGAGCTCACTTTCCAACTAATGAGCCGAGCTCGTAAGTGCCTAAATTCGACTCGACTTGATTTGTTTGCATCCCTAATTTACACTGTCCATTCCGTACAGTAAACCGTCGCACCGTTGTCGCCTTCCACTGATCTTCCAACATTTAGCTTTCTTTCTGATGTACTGGTGAATGAAATTTTAAATGAAAGGAGGGAAGTGATTAATTTTATTTGGATTGTACAAAACGGGAGAAGACTATTTAAAGTGATTTTGAGTGGAGGCTTTGGTGAGGTGGGTTTCTATATAAGTCCGAGAGTTTCCAAGGCTAGTCTTATTTTGGGGCCAATTGGAATTGAGGTTTGTGGGGATAATTAAACGGGTATAATAAGGGATATTTCAGTGTAGTTTTGGTTTCTAGGGTTTGTGGATACGTAGTATGCAGTGTAGAGGTTTTTGGAAGAGGCGGCGTCATTCTTAGGATGCTTAAAGCTTGGCCGATTGATTAAAAAAAAAAAAATCTTGAAATGAGATGATAAAATAATAATATATGTTTAGATAATTAAACTTCATCAAATAAAAGGGCAATATTGCCACCAAGCTATATTTGAAGGGAACACCACATAGTAGGAAAATATCTTCAATTTCAATTAATCATACAATATTTTCCTGCAGTATATAAGTGTACACAAAAAAAAAAAAAAAAAAAAAGTAGCGCCCAGCTCCAAGTCCGAGGAGTGATTATTCCGTCAGGTTACCGAATGCATCCGGAAGCCAATAACAAAATGCCACGTCACTAAGTGCTCGGTACAGGCGCTCGGTATAAGCTCGGTACACTCGGTATGCTCGGTATTTTTTATCGGACGCAATAAAAATTCAAGTCCGAGGGGGCCAAACTGTTCAAAACGAGTCTCTTAAAACATTACATCGCTTGATTTAGGCTTCATTTGGGATGACTTTTTGGTGCTTTTTAAAGCAGTTTTCTAGTATAAAATTTTAATTTTTGTATTAAAAAGTTGCTTTAAGAAGTAGTTAGAAAGCTATCACAAAAAAAACTTGAGTTGACCCTTGAACATTTGGATTAGCATTTGAATGTGTTGAAATATATCTTAAGCTTCAAAGGGATTTTTATAAATTTAATACTTGAATTGCTTTGGTCATTGTTTTGAAAATTGGACCGGTCCGATCGGTTTGACCGGTTCTTCCATGAACCGGTCTTGTGGCTTCTTCGGTCCTCCTGAAGAACCGGTCTAGCAACAAACCAGTCAAAATCGATTTTAATCGCCGGTCCAACCGGTCCCATTTCTTAAGAATCGGCTGTTCAATTAATGATATATTTAAGTATTTTAATTTAATATAAACTATTTAATAAATTTTAATTTTAAATTAATTTAAATATCATATATTTTATTTAACAATATAATTTCAAAAATACGATTGTATCATATATTAAATTAAATGCAAATAATTTTACTTACATGATGCCATAATACGATGTGAGCTCCAAAACCATGAATACAAGGAAATGTATATAAATAACACAACATAAAACTCCTAAGTGATGTGGGACTACTAGTTGTTTTTTATTTCAACTTTCAACAATATGTGCATGAGACTTGTTTGAATGAGAATTTGTTAAAAATAATTTTAAAATTATGTAATATATTATATATGTATGAATTTTATTTATTTTTTAGTTTCAAAATTCTTAGAATTATGAAAATTTTAAGATTAAATTGTCATTATTATTATGTTGATTTTATTACTTTTAAGAATATTATTATTTATTACGTCATCCAGTTCAACCCTAGTTCGATCGATCGAATCATTAACCTCTCCTTCTTCCGGTTCGTTGTCCGATCCGTTTTTCACAACCTTGGCTTTGGTTGACTAATAGTGAGGTTATTGCACTAATGGACAAAATTAAGCTTGCTTGTATGGCTACTTCTACATGGTGGTATGGCAGTTAAAATTTAGCAATTACCCTAGTTTATACATCAATATTACATTCAATAAAAAAAGTTATAGCATATTTAACCCAATATATTAAAGGTTTTATATCATGATTATTTGAAAAATTTTATGCTGACTGTCTAATATAATTATTCACTTTACTCATACAAGGCTTGAGATCTGGCAATGATAGTATTGTATAAACAACATAATAATAATAATAATAATAATAATAATAATAATAATAATAATAATAATAATAATAATAATAATAATAATAATAATAATAATAATAAAAAGTTTAAAAAAGAATGGGTTGTACTGCATCAAATTCCTTTGAATTAAACAACTATGCATTGCATTATTAAAATTACAAAAGATCCAAAATTTTATTTATTTGTTAAGGCGGTGAAGTGTCTTAATGTAAATTTGCAAATATTGGTAGCTAAAAAATGTATCACTGTCTCTTGTAAGCAAGTTATTTTGCTAACCCAATGCATAATGAATCTTTTAAATGATAAAATATTAAGTGCAATGAGAATAAGAAAGTAAAATATGTTAACAGGTAAACCTATTGTGGCAGGCTAGAATATACGCAATAGTATATTCATAATTTTACGTCTCAGCATTGTACGAATAACCAACACACAAAAAGAGAATACAAGATTTTTATGTAGAAAATCCTGAAAAGGGTAAAAATCACTAGGCCACACCTAGTTGAAACGATTTCACTAGTGTTTGGGTATATTACAACTGACCAAATCATCCTTGAGGGCGATAAAATTCAAATAATCAGTAGTATATTTGAAATCTAGTGACAAACGAGGGTCAAGCCGAGGTCTGTTGATGTTTGGTCGATCAAAAATCTGGCGTCAGTTGGTGGTCTGATAGAATTCCATCTTCGAGCGATGGTACAGCAAAACCCTCGGAATAAGGTGGTGGTCCAATAGATCTTCGGCCTTAGGTGTTGGTCAGCAAAACTCCGGCATTAAGTGGTGGTCCGGTAAAATTCCAACGTCAGACGGTGGTCCGACATAACTCCAGCTTCAGCCGGTGGTCTGGCAGAATTTTAGCGTTAGTCAGTGGTCTAGAAGAACTCTGGCATCGGGCAGTGGTCCGACGAAACTCAACGTAAGGTGGTCGAGGAGGAGCAAGGAGACAAGAGCGACCACTGATCTCTCTCTTACTTCTCTTCCTTTGGCTTGGGTCCCCTTTTATGAGAATTGATGTGTCTATTTATAGATTTCTGAGAGTGACATGACTCATAAATAAGAGGAAGATGAAGGATAAATTGCGAGTGGTTTGGATGGATCACTAATACTGAATCCCATGACTATGGAACATTTACTGAGCATTTTAATATCTTAATAATACCAGAATTTCCTGATATTGGGCTTGTTAGATTCATCTTATCAAGCCACTCGATTCGACTATAAGCATGTCATATTTGGAATATGTTTTGAATTCTAAATTGTGGTTTAAACCTTCCAACTATGCTTTGGGTCGTAGATTTGGACCCATTTGTGTCGTTGGGCATGAATTTCCAAGATGAGAAGTTTGACTATAAGTTTGTTAAAATTGGAGTTTGTATGGTCCCAATTTTAACTTCAATAGTTTCCAACTTAATTTTTCCTCGGGACTCGTGCCCGATCAAAATAATTTTTTGATGATGTATTAGTTGCCCCATATTTTTAGATGTCAAAATTCTAGAAGTTCAAAAATATGCACTACAGCTCTTAGGAAAATTTTTGTGCAATTTGAAACTAAAAAATAATATGATCTTGTGTGTAGAGGTTTCAAAGTCTTTAAAAATCCCAAAATTGAGTTTAAAACGTCAAAAAATGTTCACGGGGACCTTATAAATATGTGATTTATCGTGTCTGAACCAGAAATTAGGACTAGACATAAATTGGTGGTGACTTGGCCTACTGGTCGGCCGGTCACCAGCGGCGGCAGACCTGCGTGCCAAGCTCCATGCTAGTGTACCCGGCTCACTCACCTGGCCTGCCTAGCCTGCAACCCTGGCTCATCTTATCAGCTTGTAGCCTGTTTCGCCCCGCCCTCATCATATCGTTGCACAAGTTTGCATGTGGGGCTTCATGCAAAAGTGTGGCTCGGCGCTTGGAGTCAACCGCAACTAATTGGCTATGGTTGACTGATGATTCGGCTAATCACCAGCTCAAAAATTTTATTTATTTATTTTTCTGAACTTTACTTATATATATATATATATATATATATATATATATATATATATATACACACAGAGAGAGAGAGGGAGAGGAGTTTGTGAGGGAGAGCTTGTGAGGGGATTTACAAGGGTTGCATCAGGATGCGCTTTGCTTCTTCTTCATCTAGAGTTTCTCATCATGGAAGGGTCGGTAGAGGTAAGGATTCAGCAACTGATAGTGGTTTTTGCCAGCTTCAGAAGGAAGCAAAGGAGATAGGTTCTCCGCTTGTCGGGGTGGAAAAAGAGGTTCTTTGTAAAGCTTCTCTGCCTAGTTGTGGGGCTAAGGGGAGTCACGATTGTAGTGCAATACACGGAGGGTGCCTCCGGGAGTGGAACGTAGGTCGAGTTTGATCGATACCACTATAATTTCTGTGTTCTTGTTTTCTGGCTTCCGCACTTTAATTTCCATACTTAT